ACATTGGGAGGCAGCTCTTCGAGTTCTGAGGTACATCAAAGGCACTCCTGGTCAAGGACTTCTACTGCCATCTGAAAACAATTTAAGATTACAGGCATATTGCGATTCTGACTGGGGTGGTTGTCGAACTTCCAGACGATCTATTTCTGGGTTCTGCATTTTCCTCGGAAATTCAATTATTTCTTGGAAGTCTAAAAAGCAAACTAATGTGTCCAGATCATCAGCAGAAGCCGAGTATCGAGCTATGGCAAATACTTGTTTAGAGTTAACTTGGTTAAGATACATTCTTCAAGACTTGAATGTTCCACTGTCCGAACCAGCATTATTATATTGTGATAATCAAGCAGCATTACATATAGCAGCCAATCCAGTTTTTCATGAACGTACGAAACACATTGAAATAGATTGCCATATAGTTCGAGAAAAGTTACAAGCTGGAATCATCAAACCGTGTTATGTTTCGACCAAAATGCAATTGGCAGATGTTTTTACTAAAGCTTTGGGAAGACAGCAATTTGACTTTTTGAAGGACAAGTTGGGTGTGATCGACATACACTCTCCAACTTGAGGGGGAGTATTAAGAGGATATTTTGCCGTGATAATTAGTTAGAATATATATCAGATATTTAGGGAGTTGTTAGTATAGATTTTATTAACCGTATATTTTATTTATTTACCAAATTTAGTTAGATATATATTTTTTCTATTTTTAGGTATTAGTTGATAGTTTGTATCCTATTTAAACGTGGTAAACCTGAATGAAGATCATACTTTCGATCCCAATTCTATTTCTATTTCTCATTCTTAACATTATTATTAATTTTTTTCTCCTTTCTAATCAATTCATAAAATATTTGTTTATAACCCTAAATTTGCCATTATTCTCATACACCATCACAAATATATATATATTTTATTAATATATCTTCTCTTTCTTCCTATGTTTATCATATCATTCCTAGGTTTATCATATGATATAGAGAGTGATAGCAAGAATAATATAGTTATTCGAATCTAATTTATTTGATAATGATATTTTTATAATAAGTATTTGGTTGTAGTCTTGACATTTAAGAACGATGCCTAATCATTTATATTTATTTGTTTATGATATATATTTGGGAGAGATTTAATGACATGAAATTGATAATAAAAATGATGTAGTTTGTGATAATTTAATAAGTTCAATAATTCAACAAATTAAGAAAGAAGGTTTGCTTCTTTTTTTTTTCTTTTTTTTTTACCTTTAATTACTTAAAATTATTATGAAAAGTATTACTTTTTCAAATAGACTATTGAAAGTAATACCTTTGGACAGTGGATACTTTAATTAATAGATGGAAAGTTTTGTTAACTAAAACTAAAATAGAATTATTCCTTCATTGAAGTAACTGAATATTATGAAACTTTGTTTTTCTATACAATTACTTAATTTAAACTTCTAATTTCAAATAAAATATTTTTTTTCTAAAAATGAATATTATCTAAAAAGTTTTAACGGTCACCAAAGGTATAATTACTCAAATCTAGAATTGGAATCACTCTCATTCAAATGTAGTATTAATTTCTATAGGTACCCGAATTACAATAAAAATAATTATTTTAGAAAAAAAAAATTGAGAGTTTTTTCTACTCAATCTAAAGTTTGAAATCCATGCTTTGTTTTTCAAGTCAACTAAAATTACATAATAATAATAAGAACAATAATAAAAGGGGAAAAACATAACATCGTGATTAAATCATTTTTAGAATTAAAAATCATGTCAAAATGCACTTCTCACCAAACATTTTATAGCTGTCGAAAAACAATTTTATTAAAAGTTCTTATACTTAAAAAATGGGCAAATTCATTTAATGGTCTAATATTTGAGAAATTTTCAGTCCTGGCATTTAAAAAAAAAAAGTTGAAATTAATTTATTATTATTATTTTTATTAATTAATTAACTATCTTAAATTTCAATAAGATTGAGAACGGCAAAATATTAGTAAAGGCCAAGTTGCAAATTATATTAAAGACTATTTGAACTTTTTTTATAAAGGAAATCAGCAATCTGCGAATTTTCTCGTTTGGAATAACAATAGTAATATATGGAGTCTGGACAATTTAAATATTAACTTTCAGATGAAAAATATAAGATTAATTAGGCTAAATTAATAATAAAAAAACTATTTTAGATATTCTTAAACTTAAAAAAAAAAAAAACTAAAAAATATCTTTTTGGATGGAAATCATTAACCATTTTTTAGAGGGTTTGAAAAATATCATTAAAATTTCAAAGTTCCATTAATATTTTTTAAAAATTTAAAAAAATAAAATTAAAAAAAATTCATGAATTTTCAAAATTAAAAAAATTTAGATATAATTTATGAAGTGTCAAATAGACGTTTTTCGTTCATATATTGATGATAAAATATTTTTGAACATTTTTATATAAGGTCAAAAATTGCTAATACTAGTATTTTTTAATTATAATATTAAAATTAAAAGAGAGTGATGAAACACTATTAAAAGGAATATTTTAAGAATAAATTAGTTTTGATTTCCATCTAAAATGAAAGATGAAGACATTTTTTAGATTTAAAAAAAAATATTAATAATTCTAAAAATAAAATATAGAGTTTAGGAATATTTTTATTAATATTACTGATTTTAATTTTTTTTAGGCGAGTAAAACACTGGAAGCTCTAAATTTTAGATGGAAAGGGTATTTATTAGGTTGAGCAGTTGAGTTTAAAATTAATGATCAAGCTAGAGAGAGAAAGAGAAGAGAGAGAATACAAAATAAGTGCGAGGGAGACAACAGCGTATCTTTGAAAATCCTAAAAAATCCCAAATTTTGGATATTTGTTTTTGCTTCAAAAAGCAAAGGGGAAAGGGAGGGAGGAGAGAGCATAAGATCCCATTTTTTGCTCTTCTTCTTCTTCTTCTTCTTCTTCTTCTTCCGAATCCTCTCAATTTTGCTCTGTCAAACAACCCATCCCTCCCCTTTTTGTCCCCTCATTTTCATGTTCCTCTGTTTCTGAACTCCCAATCCTCTGCTGAGCTGTTTGCGTTTTATATATAATATTTTGTCCCCTTTTCCCTTTGCCCTTCCAACTCTCTTTGAATTTTATTATTTTATGCAGCCAACACACTGAAACGTGCTCCTCCTTGTCAGATTGCCGCTTCCTCAACTAAGCTTCACGTTCCAGGGAGCACATGATTGCAGTTTTGTATTCTTACAATTTCTTTTTTACTTCTTCTTTCTTATTCCTCTTTCCCCATTCCATCTTCTTCTTCTGCTCAAAACCTAGACCCATTGTTTTGCTGTGACATGTAAATTTTAAGAGTTGGGAAACTCGTTTAAATAAAGAGGGAATACTTTGAAGTTTGGGCTTTTCCCCTTCTTTTTTGTTCCCATCTTTTGAGAGTCTTGCTTCTTCTGGGAATTGGGAATTGGGAATTGGGAACTGGGAACTGGGAACTGGGAACTGGGAACTGGGAACTTCTTTTGTTTTCTTCTCTTCTTCAATTATGCCTATCTATGCACTCCTCCTTCCTATTTTCGTAATGGGGTCTCCGTGAGATCGAGGGAAGTATTGGAGGGAGAAGAAATTTGGGGGTTTCTTGAGTAATTGTCAGTTTGTTTACCCAAAAAGCGAGCTTATAATTGTGTCTTTCTGTGGGACTTTAGTATGAGGTTGCTGAGAGTGGGGGAGACAAAGGAGGAAGAGGAATGGTAGAAAAGACAAGTGCTGGGATGAGTATGAAGATGCAGCAGAGCCACCACTCAGTGGCTGTGAGGTATAATGAGCAAATTGGAAGCAAAAAAGGGGTCACCTTCATTCAAGCCAACAGGGCTTGGCTTCCCAAGTTCTTGTTGCTTTGGGTTCTGTTGGTGGCATTCATTAGTATGCTGATCTACAAGGGAATGGAGGCTGACAACAAGGTTAGAAGAAGGGAAGTCTTGGGGAGCATGTGTGACCAGAGGGCAAGGATGCTTCAGGATCAATTCAGTGTCAGTGTCAACCATGTCCATGCTTTGGCTATTCTCATTTCCACTTTCCACTACTTCAAGAACATATCAGCAATCGATCAGGTATTCAGGTTTCGGTTTCTGTCTTTGATTTAAATCAGTTGGGTTTATTTATGAGTGAGAGAGTATTCATCTTTTCTTGTTTTCGTCTAGAAATTACTTTGGTGTCTTGATTCTCAGTTTCTAGGGGTGTTTGATTGTTTGAATGCAGGAAACTTTTGCTGAGTACACAGCCAGAACTGCTTTCGAGCGGCCTTTGCTCAGTGGTGTGGCATTTGCGCAAAGAGTGGTGCACTCGGAGCGAGAGAAATTCGAGATGCAACATGGTTGGACTATAAAAACGATGGAAAGGGAAGCATCGCCTATAAGGGATGAGTATGCGCCAGTCATATTTTCCCAGGAAACTGTTTCCTACATTGAATCTCTTGATATGATGTCTGGAGAGGTAGTTTGAATTATAATCATAGGCATAGTTAGTTAAGGGAGTGTTTTTTTTTTTTTTTTTTTTTTTTNTTTTTTTGTGTTGACTTCGGTACCTCCTCCAAATATAATTTGTCCTATGATGCCTTTCATTGCAGGAGGACCGTGAAAACATTTTGAGATCAAGAGAAACAGGTAAAGCTGTTTTAACGAGCCCTTTCAGACTACTGGGTTCTCACCATCTTGGAGTTGTGCTGACGATCCCTGTTTATAAAACCAAGCTTCCGGCAAATCCAACTATGGATGAGCGAACTCGAGCAACAGCAGGGTAAGTTTCCCAAGTGGTTTTTCCTTTTCCTTTTCCTTTTCCTGTGTGTGTGGGCGTGGGGGGGGGGGGGGGGNGGGGGGGGGGGGGGGGGGGGGGGGGGGGGGGGGGGGGGGGGGGGGGGGGGGGGGGGGGGACAAAAGCCCAACTTCCATTTGAAGGGGTGGGAACTAGCTTTCATTGAAAGGGGTGAGAGTACAGAAGAGATGGCTGTACAAAAACTCAGGTGGAACTGAGTAAAAGATGCCTCAATAAAGAGTTTCAAGAGGAGGCTAGGAAAAAGGGATTCGCAAAAATGAGAAATTGTGAAGACCCAAATAATGCACTGAAGGAAAGAAATGTATTCGTATTCCCAATGATACGAATTTAAGTAATGAAGAACAAAGAAAAAAAAGAGCTATCTGATCAGATTATAAAAAACAATTGGCTCTATATACTTGTGAGCTTGAAAGTTGGTGTTGATTGCATATAGTAGGCTGTTGAATAAGCACCATGTGAAAAGCAATGAGGGTCAAATGTTGAAATCCTCCACCCCAAATGTGGTGGAGGAATAGGGCATGTGTGCAACATGCTATCCCTCGGGGTAGTTAGTATAATTTTAGATCTGCCCTCACAGTCAAAATATTTCCGTTCTGCTCATGCGCTGTCGCAGTCAACTATCCAATTCCGTTGGGCACCCGCCAACCCATATTACATGCCGATAACAAAATTTCTAGAATATCACTTCCTCGTGCCCTGGTACTATGTATGTTCTATACAATTCTTACAGTCCCTCTAATGCCTAATCCTGTAGAAATGTAAGGTTGGAGTTTCATTCACAGGCCGAAAGATAATGGTTACAACTGAGGAGGTCCTCTATATCTCCGGTTGCTACTATTTACTTACACTGATTAGAGTTAGTTACATGGGTCTCGACCCCTTCATTCTTCTAATCACTAATTCCCTTTCTAACCCCTTACCGTAGATACTCTAGCTCGGTGAATCAAATTACTTTTCCATTAGTTTGCATGAATGTATTTGGCTGTGAAATCTTTATTCTTGAAGCATGTTATTGTAATCTAGTATTTTGGTAGAATGAGAAGGATCATCTCTCACGCTTTCCCCTTCAAAATATTATGGTTTGTTATGCTTCTTGATGGCTTAATAATTTTTGGTAAAGCAGTTACCTTGGTGGAGCATTTGATGTGGAATCACTTGTCGAAAATTTGCTTGGGCAACTTGCTGGAAATCAGGCTATTTTGGTGAATGTATACGATATCACGAACTATTCTGATCCCCTAGTAATGTATGGTCATCAATATGAAGACGGAGACATGTCTCTTTTGCACGAAAGCAAATTAGATTTTGGAGATCCATTTAGGAAGCATGAGATGATATGCAGGTAACTGTAAGGTCAAATCTTTTAAGTTGTAGCTGGAATATATCTGTGCATTTTTCCCAATGGTCTTACGGATGGAGTTTTGAGCAGATATCATCAGAAAGCACCAACATTATGGACGGCACTTACTACTGCATTCTTATTCTTTGTGATTGGATTGTTAGTGGGATATATATTATACGGTGCAGCAACTCATATCGTTAAAGTCGAGGACGATTTCCATGAAATGCAAGAATTGAAAGTTCTAGCTGAAGCTGCTGATGTTGCAAAATCTCAGGTATTTCTTGAAGCCTTTGCCTTTAATTCCCCAACTTCTTGCTTACCTAACGTTCTCATCTTGTGCCAGTTTCTTGCCACCGTCTCTCATGAAATCAGGACACCCATGAATGGCATCCTTGGTGAGTATTTGTCTCTCTTGGAATTATTTTGGAAGGGTATTAGCTATTAGATGTGTATAGGCAATGACTTTGTTAGGAATGACATTGGGGTGGTTTGAATATTATTAGATATTAGCTAAAGAGTTAGCTAGTAGGAGTAGATTATAAATAGAGAGTGGGAGGGGATAAAGGGTGTATATCTTTTTGCATATTCTTCGTTACCAATATATTTCTTGGATTCCCGCCAATTTACTCTTTACTTTCAATTATAGGAATGCTTGCTCTACTTCTAGATACGGAATTGAGTTCAACTCAAAGGGATTACGCTCAAACTGCCAAGGCCTGTGGAAAAGCACTGATAGCGCTAATAAATGAAGTGCTTGACCGGGCGAAAATTGAAGCTGGGAAGTTGGAGCTTGAGGCGGTTCCTTTTGACCTTAGATTGATACTAGATGATGTTCTGTCTTTGTTTTCTGAAAAGTCACGGCACAAGGGAGTAGAGGTAAGATCCTGCTAATTATGAGCAAGTTATTTTGCTGTAAATATTTTCTAGCATAGCACTAGATAGAACATGCTGGACTAATGAAGCTTTCTCCTTGACATTATAAATAAAATCGGCATCCATCTTTATGGACGAGGAAGAAGACGATTATTATTGTTTTTGTTTTCTTCTTGAAATCTGAGATCCTTTGATTAATCTTTCTCTCTTGTCTGCTTTTTCTCATGGTGGCTTTTGTGCGGTTCGGGATGGCTGGCTCTTGTTGTGGACATGAAGTTGGCAGTGTTTGTTTCTGACAGAGTTCCTGAAATCGTTATGGGGGATCCTGGAAGGTTCAGACAAGTAATCACAAATCTTGTGGGCAACTCTGTAAAAGTAAGATTTTCTTTCTGTTCTCCCACGAGTCACCCTCATAGCCCCTGAGAGTTGTCATTCTACTTTTCAACTATAATTATTAGGACTTCATGGTTTTTGACCAAATGTATGTTTTTCGAAATTTGACCTTTATGATTAGTTTTAGTCTCTCTTAATATGACTGATGTTTCATTACTTGGGGCATTTGACAGTTCACAGAACAAGGACATATATTCGTCAAAGTCCAATTAGCCGAACAATCAATGGCTTCTACGAATATCAAATCTGAAACTCATGTGAACGGAAACTTAGATGATGGTGCATCCTACAATAAGCATCAGTTTCAAACCTTAAGTGGATGTGAGGCCGCTGATAACCAAAACAGTTGGGATACTTTCAAGCATCTCATTGCAAATGACGAACGACCAAACACTTCAAGCAATTTTACGGTTACGAATGAAAGCTCTGATATTGTTACTGTTATGATATCGGTGGAAGATACAGGAATCGGGATTCCCTTATGTGCCCAAGGTCGAGTCTTTACGCCCTTCATGCAAGCAGATAGCTCAACCTCTAGAAACTATGGTGGAACTGGTATTGGCTTAAGCATCAGTAAGTGTCTGGTAGAACTAATGGGCGGTCAGATAACCTTTGTAAGCCGTCCCGAGGTTGGAAGCACCTTCTCATTCACTGCTGTGTTTGGAAAATGTGAGAAGAAAGCGACAGTCGACATTAAAAAGCCTAATTTGGAGGAACTCCCTTCTGCATTTAGAGGACTGAAATCTGTCGTAATTGATGGGAAACCAGTTAGAGCTGCTGTGACCAAATACCATTTGAAGAGACTTGGCATCCTGGTGGAAGTTGCCAGTAGTGTCAAGATGGCTGCAGCTTTATGGGGAAAAAATGGCTCTGTTAGATCAAGGTAAGCACCGTTAACCTCAATCCGTCAATACATAAGAAACGAGTTGCATAATTTTGTACAAGAATATTATTATCATGTTTAATTGCAGTAAGTTCAGTAATTTTCTTAAAGAACACACATATGGTGTTGATAAAAAAAGCTTCAGTTCTTCATTAATATATTTCATAACTAAGATTATGCACAATTAAGATCCTCTTGTAGATATATTATGGTGCGGTTTTGTGACGCGAATTGTTTGTTGTGTATTGCAGTAATATCTTTCAGCCGGACGTAATTTTTCTTGAGAAAGATATCTTTTTTTCAAGTGAGGAACGTGGTTCTTCTAATCTACCTCATCGACTGGACTGGAAGCAGAATGGTCATGCCTTTAAGTTGCCGAAATTAATCCTTCTCGCGACCAGCATAAGCACGGATGAATTTGATAAAGCGAAGGAAGCAGGTTTTTCAGACACCTTGGTCATGAAACCACTAAGAGCAAGCATGATAGGTGCATGTCTTCAACAGGTGCTTGGCTCGGGAAAGAAACGGCAGCTTGGAAAGGGCACGGCAAATGGGTCCAACTTTCTTAGAGGTAAGAAAATATTGGTTGTTGATGACAATATGGTGAACCGAAGAGTCGCTGCAGGTGCCTTGAAGAAATTTGGTGCCGATGTAGAGTGTGCTGAGAGTGGAAAAGCTGCTCTGACATTGCTTCAACTTCCACACAGTTTTGACGCTTGCTTTATGGATATTCAGATGCCAGAAATGGATGGGTATGTTCAGCAGTTTTTCTCTATTGCCAATAATTTCCCCCCAACTGTAATCACTGTCAAGATCAAAACATATTAAATAGCAACAATGAGTTTTAGGTGATGAGATAGTGAATAGCAGGGACAGGAGCTCATGAGAATTTGTTCCCTTTCCTTTTGTTATGCATTTAATTTGAATGTGTTAATGGAATGCGTTTTCTTCAACTGCAGATTCGAAGTGACCCGAAGAATCAGGCTGATGGAGAGCAAGGCAAAGGAAGCAGTGGTTAGAGAATCTGGTGGGAAAGAAAATGCAAGGAAAGATGAGTGGCATGTTCCAATATTAGCCATGACCGCGGACGTTATTCACGCAACGTGCGACAAGTGCCAGGCAAGTGGGATGGATGGATACGTATCAAAACCATTCGAGGAAGAGAATCTGTACCAGGCAGTTTCCAAGTGTTTCGATTTAAAGGCCATCACGGATTCTTGAGTCATGGATTTTGAGGTGGATGAAAGTGTGAAGTCAGTGGAAGGACATTTGTTCTGGGTTGGGTAGTACATTTTAGAGCAGATGCTCACAAGACTTGATTTCAAGGAATCTTGATCAATGGAAGGGGCCACCATTTTTGACCACAATGTTGTACTTCTGGGCATTTCTACATTACCATCAGACCCTGCTGCTGCTGCTGCTGCATCTTCCTTGTATGTGCTGTGCTGTTGGCCCCTTTTAGTTGTGGCTTTTGTGCTGGGGGCTGTAGAGGGTGTACATTCATTATGATTATTTTATGCTTACCTTGTCAAAAACAAAAAAAGGTCTTGCAGCTGATTTTGTATAATTCTGTTGAACAGGATATGATGAGTGAAGAATTTGAATGCATGGAGGATGCACGAATGATCTTGTAATTTTGAATGTTGAAACGGATAGGATTTTTTTTTAATTCAGTTAAATTTTGAATTGAGGAAAAGTAATACACATATTTTAGTAAATGAACACCTCTGAGATTTCTTAATTGAAGAATGGAAAAAGTGGTAAAAAAGTATGAGAATTGGTGGTCCACTTTTTAGGGTTGTAATTAATGTTAAAATTGCAAGTCATTAATGGTGCGGAAATCATGATTAGAAAAACCAACATTAGTGAGCCTGCCTGTTTTGGGCCACGCTCTCTTCCTGGATTAAATAGTAATTAGCTATAGATGAACTTAAATACAGTAATTTTTTTAGTAGTTTTCAAATTGGTATTTAATCTTTTAAATTCTCAATTAATACCATTTATGTATTAAAAAATTGAAATAATAAATTAATTAAAATGTGATAATTTAATAAAGTTAGATGTGAGAATAAAAGTAATACGTAAATAAAAATATTAGAAACAATGAGAAAGGGAAGAAAAGAAAAGAAAAGAAAAGAAAGTTCAGCACATCCCTAAGATCGCGTCAAGGTCTCTCTACTGAAACAAAAAATACTCGGGGAGAGAGGGAGAGATAAAAATGGATGTAGTGACGTTCGGCATCATTGTCGGCATAATCCTCCTCTTCTTAGTGGCCATTTGCTACATCACCATTCAGGGCACCTGCAAATCCGCTTAATCCTTCTTCTACCTTCTCTCCAATCCAACCATTTACTACTCCCTCGATCCTCCGCCCCGCCCGGATTCTCCTTTATTCAATCTCCTTCTCACCCTCTTCACAACATGCCCAACCGGAATCTTCTTCTCCTCATTTCTGCTTCTCTTCTTCTCTTAGGGTTCCTTTTGGATCTCACCTTTGCGCACGCCTCCCACGGGCATCACCATTGTACCCATGCCCACGGAGACCACTCCCACGCCCACGACCATCACCATCACGATCACCATCACCATCGGCATGGGGAGGATCTGTCCGTTCGGTCCAAGCTGCTGCCGGAGGAGCTGGCGGAGGAGGAGGATATGAAGCTTTTTGGGTTTGGCAGACCCTATATCAATGTTGATCATCAAAGTGTTGAATCTTCCGAGCTCTCTGGTTTGGGTACTTTCTTCAATTGCGTCTTAATGGATGTGCATTCTGTTTTATTTTCTGCGTATTTCTTTGGAGTTTATATTCGGTTATTTTGTTCTGTGTTCTGCTGGTGCTCCGAAAACTTCTAATTCTAGTGTTCTTGTGTTTTCCGGGGAAGATAGATAGTTCTCAATCTCGATTGTTTGAATTTGAAATGGAAGCTATGCCTGCTGGAACTAAGTCGGTTGTTTCTATCTCCAAGGATCCTTCCAACTTCACGCACAACTGTTTATGTTCTGCTTGAACTTATTTCCGTTTGATGTATGATAAAATACCATCCACGTTCATTCATCTTGCTTTTTTGTTATCTGGTTCTTCGGTGATCTTGCAGTAAAATAATTCAAGTACCATTCTTGTTTCTTATGTATGGTAGTTGTATTTAGTACAACTTCTCTGTTTCTCCAGTGATGGTTAAGCATTGGTTTTTTTTTTTTTTTTTTTTTTTTTTTTTTTTTTTTTTTTTTTTTTTTTTTTGTAATTTTTCCCTATAGATCTTTGGGTTCGTGCATTGGGCTGTTCACTGTTGATTAGCATGGCATCTCTTATTTGCCTAGTACTCCTTCCAGTGATTTTTGGTGAGTGACTTTGCGTTAAATGCACATGTATTCTTATCTCATGGCTTATGTAATTGACTTTTTTTTTAGTCTAAAGTGGTGTTTTATGGGTAAGAAAAACTTATGCCATCCCGACAACTGAAATGTTGAATTATTGTAGTTCGAGGCAAACCATCCAAAGGAATCGTCGACTCATTGGCACTATTTGGGGTCAGACTCTTTTAGCCTCTTATTCCTAATAGGAATTTTTTAATTTCTTAATAACTTGATTTATGAAGTTCTGATTTTAATGTCAACTGTATGTATTTTGTTTTATAATGAGCTATGCTGAAATGATGAGGATATTTCTGTTATGTGAGGGGAAGCATGGTCTTGGGGTTTCATATTCACATTGGTCTATTTACCTTGATATTTGAAGTATGTTTATAAGGCAATGGAGCTGTATAGCTTAACTTTCAGATGATTTTATTTGGTTTCTATATCTTGTAACTTTTAATTTTAATTTATTTATAAGTGGGTAAAATATGAAAAAGGTCCCTGTGCTGCTAGCAATTAAATCGATGATACCTTTTAAATCACATTGCTGTTCCTTAAGCTCGGGGACACATATTTTCATCCAGATGTGTTACCCTTTTCTCTAACCTTCAACACCATACTAGCCTAGAAGGCTTGAACACATAAAATTGAGTTGTGGAAATATACTTACAGTAGGTGGACAGTTTTATAGAAATCTGGAGGGAGAATAAAGGACTGAAATGTTTTAACTTGAGGTTCTAACCAGGAGATGGTCTCTATAGTTTCTAGATTCCACTTGGATGCTCATATAAACTGATTTTTTTTCTGTTGTAGGCAGGGGCTATGTTAGGGGATGCCTTTCTCCATCAGTTGCCTCATGCATTTGGTAAGGAAACAGATCGATGCCATTTCAATATCTTGAAAATGTCTTCCCTAGTCCTTCACCTTTGACAATTATTGTTTCTGTTTCCTACTATTAAATTAAAGGTCAGTATGTGCAAAAATGTGGTGGGATGCACCGAATGAATTAGTAATTGCAAATGTATTGAGAATCTAGTCATTATTGCTTATTTCATGCTTTTAAATTGTAAATATAGGGTGTATCCAGGGTTTTTTATTTTATTTAATTCAACAACATGGGGGACCATTTGGAGGGAATTTAGATACTTGGCATCTTTGGATGCCCGCTTTTAGTCAAGCAAATGCGACCTCAAAGACACGTTATATGGGTACATTGCTAGTATGCCATGAATTAGGTTCATGGACGTGAGTAAAGTATTGCCACTCTGCATGTATATGTGTGCCTTGGGGGATTGTGTGCTGACGTTGGTTTACTACTTTTTTAGGGTCACATGGGACTTAAATGGGCTACCATGATACATATTGGAGTTGAGGAGTGTCTTTCTATGGGAATGGAAACTTTGAGGAGAATGTTGGGTGGTTTGGGTGTGCATATACTGATATTCTACTCCTTTCAATGGTTTAAAGGTTTGATACTAGAATGGAGTTTAGAGATGAGTATCTAAAAGTGAATCGACATGGGTATGGGTATGGGTGTCAACATGCTTCACGAAGCCCAAATGGATGTTCAAGACCACCCTTAACACAATACACAGAGTCTTGGGCTAGTTACTTGTAAATGCTCCTTGGCATGAAGTATAGTGAGACAACCCCTCTTATCATGATTTTGGTCAATGTGACCTCATAAAGCATTAGTCGGCATGAGACAAAATGTAATAAAATGGTCGTGGTCTAGGTGAGATGTAAGATTCATCTTAAAGGAGTCATGACTTGGTGTAGGAGCAAAATGATCATGAAGCCATGAAAAGTTGTCGATGCAACGGCCATGTCAGAGTATTCAAGGGATCATGGCTCAATGTAAAGGTCAATGAAATCTTTGGTCGTGGCTTGTAGTAGAGGCCAGTTAGGTAGAGGTGTTGTTAAGAAAAATGCATATATGGGTAATGTGTACGTCCAAGAGTCTAAAGAGATGTGTGCATAGTTGTTAGCACAACCTTGAGGTTAGGCTAACGATAAGCTGAGGGATGCTTATCCATGTCGGCAGTTTGAGTGCATGCTTAAGATGCAATTTTATGCGAGCTATAGAGTTCAACCAAAGGGTACAGAACTTTGTCTTAAGTTTTATGGATCTAGAAATGCTCAAGATGTGAGTTTTTGGTCTAGAGTAGCCCTATTGTTGACTATGGTTTAGGTAGAATCATGTCACTGTATGGTCCAAGATGGTGAGATAATGAAATTTGGTAGTGGTCTTTTAGAGATGTTTTTTTGGTGCTAAGTTGAACCATGAAAGCCTACAAGAGAATAGAAAAGTGTGTCATAATGTCTATGATGATAGGGTAGTTGTAGTTCTCACTACTTAGCATCAGAGATAGTGTAGTGTCAATTGTGTTGAAGTCTTGGCTCCCACCCACGGGTTCTCAGTACTTGCAAGAGGCTATGAGTTAAAACTATAGAGAAAGGAAGAATTAGGTTGGACTGCTCAAGGTCTTCGGGCTTCAGGCTTCAGATATATGCAAAGTTATTAGATGACAAGGTTCTAGGAATGCTCTCAAGAGTAGTAGAGGAGTGTTGGCAGAATGCAGAGCAAGTCACAAACAATGCTTACCCATATTGCAGTCCTCAACAAGGCCCATGTCTACCCCTATTGACGTTATTTATGTGATAGCCTAGGTACTCACCTTCGTAGAAAGAGTTATCTATCCGAACAATATTCTTATTGATCTATTAACAACAAGTAGATGTTAGAAGGATATGCAATGTGTCGAAGAGAAATTAGTGTTAAAGTATTTGATATAGTCTAAATTTACCATAATCCATCAGCTTAAACTTTTGGCTTAATTGATGATTGAACATGGCATAAAAGCAGGAGGTCCTGCCTATAATGTTATTTCCTTAATATTGATTCCCCTTGTTAGACAGATATATGCAAAATTAGTAAATGACAAAGTTCTAGGAATGCTCTCAAGAGTAGTAGAGGAGTGTTGGCTGAATGCAGAGCAAGTCACAAGGCAATGCTTACCCATATTGCAGTCCTCAACAAGGCCCTTGTTTACCCCTATTGACGTTATTTATGTGATAGCCTAGGTACTCACCTTCGTAGAAAAAGTTGTCTATCCGAACAATATTCTTATTGATCTATTAACAAGTAGATGTTAGAAGAATATGCAATGTGTCAGAGAAATTGGTGTTAAAGTATTTGATATAGTCTGAATTTACCATAATCCATCAGCTTAAACTTTTGTGTTAATTGATGATTGAACATGGCATGAAAGCAGGAGGTCCTGCCTATAATGTTATTTCCTTAATATTGATTCCCCTTGTTAGACCTTCTATTAATTTCTAAGCCCACAATTAAGGTGTGTTAAAGTATTGAGAAATTGATATAAGATTGAAGTTACCATCGCCCTTCAAACTTTAGCATTGGTGATTTAACAATTGATACAAGAAACCGTGGTTATGCTTCTTGATAATGGAATCAGAACAAGAAGAAGAAGAATCCGAAGACCAGAAGGGGTAGTTGGAATTTTGTAATGTAGGAATTTATGAAGAGGTACACACAACATTTGCCAAGATAAAATGAATACATGTAATTGGATTCAAAGGAGAAACCCTCAGTTGAGAATTACCCCTGCCTGGTGTGTTCTGTTTAGATCAGGTTGGGAAAATCATCTGCATTTGTTCTTCCAGTGCTCATTTGCTGTTGCCATGTGGTATAGATTCTTGAACGTCTTTGGTCTGAGTTGCAGTTTCTGTAACGACCCAGATCCACCGCTAGCAGATATTGTCCTCTTTGGGCTTTCTCTTTCGGGCTTTCCCTCAAGGTTTTAAAACGCGTCTGCTAGGGGAAGGTTTCCACACCCTTATAAATGGTGATTTGTTCTCCTCCCCAACCAATGTGGGACATCACAATCCACCCCCCTTCAGGGTCCAGCGTCCTCGCTGGCACTCGTTCCTTTATCCAATTGATGTGGGACCGCCCCCAAATCCACCCCCCTTTGGGGCCCAGCGTCCTTACTGGCACACTGCCTCGTATCTACCCCCCTTCGGGGAATAGCGAGAAGGCCGGCACATCATCCGATGACTGGCTCTGATACAACCACATTGGTTGGGGAGGAGAACGAATCACCATTTATAAGGGTGTGGAAACCTTCCCCTAGCAGACGCGTTTTAAAGCCTTGAGGGGAAGCCCGAAAGGGAAAGCCCAAAGAGGACAATATCTGCTAGCGGTGGATCTGGGTTGTGACAGTTTCCCAGCTAGCTGGAAGGTTGTCGTTCATCATCTCTTATTTGGGTCTCCCTTGGTCCTCTGGTTTAATGCAATGGCTGCTCTGATTTGGAGGTTGTGGCTTGAAATAAATCTAAAAGTCTACCAAGGGAAGACAAAAATTTAAGGTTTTTGGGACTTAGTCAGTGTGTTTCCTCTAGTTGGTACTCTTTTACCTGTAATTTTTGTAACTGTATCTTCGCGCGGATCAATTCCCATGGGAAATCCTTATAATCCATTGGCTTTATGAGGATAGCTCATTCCATTTTTTGTATGATCTCTTTAGGATCTATATATCCCTCAAGTTTCTAAATTATATGAAAATAAGAAGGAAAAGAGCTTTTTTTTTTTCTTGTTTTCAGGTGGTAACTTTTATCAAACTGTATTCTGTAATGTGTCTTCTTTTTCGATAGCTGGTTGATGGAACTGTTCCTCACTTTTTAAAAGAATCGTGAGATGGCTTATCCTCTCTTTCTTTATATTTTATCGAGTCTGCAATGCAAAGTTGTTCATTATAAAGAATGAAACATGGTGCTTTTTTGCGATGAGAACATCCATGATTCAGCAATAAATTTTATTTTCTTGAACCAATTTTTTTATGGGATCGGTTTTTATCTGGCAGGTGGTGACAAGCACTCCCACTCGCATGCTGACCATCAACATCATGGTCACTCAGGAGAAAACCATTCACATGCTCATTCTTTGGAAGATCTTTCTGTAGGAATATCTGTCCTTGGTTAGTTTCATACATCATGTGTTTTACAGACATTGTTGCATACATCTGTTGTTTGTTTTCTTAAAGAAACTTGATTTGTTATTTATTATGATTGCTAGTTGTAAATGTGGGACTTTTAGTGCATTTGTCTCTGTTTCAGTTGTTTTGAGGAGCACGCATAGTTTTAATCTTGTTAAGTTTACTTTAATTGGTTCTGTTTCTATGCTTCTTTATATCTTGTTATCTGCTGAAAAATTTATATTGGTCCACAATTTATCAAAATATTAGATGCGTAAGAGAAAGACTTCAATGGAGAATAAAGGGCAGACTGGGACACAGTCTGATATGCATTTTTTTATTTGCCAAGGCAATTCACATTTAGAACCAAACGTGATGCAGCTTTGGAAGAATGATTCCATGGAGACATAATGGAGATGGCAAATTGGTGCTGAATTTTTTAAAGAGTATTAGTGACATCTACCCATTGAATTTTATTTTACTTTTATTGTATATTACTTGAGGTATTTCTCCATGGAGAGGGTTCATAATGACATATCTTGTTCATCGAGCTTAGTTTGTGGTTATCATTGAGTTTGATTCAAGCTTTGTTAATTTTTTTCACTCTATTTTTAAGTCAATATTGCTCGCCATGTTTCTCTTCTTTTTCTATGTAAGCCCTTTCCCCAGCTTGTTTGCTTTGTCCAATTATGGCCTCACTTAACCTAGCCCGTAACCACCTCTGGTTTTCCCTTCAATTGTAAACATCTTTCAAGTTATCTAAACGTTGAATGTACGCACCAACACTAGCTGTGAGGAAACTGAAGGTGCGGAAAGGGCCTTTCAATTCATAGTTGGAACTCTCCTTTGAGTTATCTTGGCATCCCCCTAGAGGATAACTCAAACATAAGCTAAGGAAACTGATTCTAGATAAAATTCATAGAAGCTGATGTGGAAAATAGTTATTATGCATAATAGGGTAGACTTCTAGCACAATCTGTCAGGACCTAAAAGGTAATTAAAATAAGCATATTGTATGACAGGTCCTTCATGCAGAGTTAATACCCTGGATAGGGAGTACCTGAAGACCTCGATCATTTTTCCAGACTTGTGTGTTCACTTGCTCAGTTTGGAGTTATATTTTTCGGTTCTTCAGTCTTAGCTTGGTTCAATCTAGAGATTGTTGCTCCATGTTGGAGGAGTTTTTCCTTCACTCAACCCTTTCGTGATAAGGGTTGTTTTTTTGTGGCTTGCCATCTTTTGTGCTATTTTATGTGGTGTTTGAAGTGAAAGAAAGAATAGAGTTAATAGAAGGGTTGAAATTCCTTGTTAGGTTCCATGTCCACCTTTGGGCCTTGGTGTGTAAGCTCCGATGGTGTAAAGAACTACCATGGATCGAGTTAGTGATACCATGACATATGATAAAAATAAGAAGATTTTTGGGGAATGAGATCAAACCTATGGTGTCAACTTATCTAGGATATTAAATTCCTAGAGTTTCTAGCCTACTAATATGGTTGCTAGTTGGTTGTCTTGTGAGATTAGTGAATTGGTGTCTTCTATCGCGAAGAGAAAATTAATGGTGTGTGGCCTTATTTAGAAATTTTTTTAATGTATTGTTACTAATTAAGGGTGAGATCTTGTCTAGTTCCTTGATTATATATTTTATTGTGTGGTAATATTATTAAAAGATCACCATTCTAAGAAAAGAACACAACGGTAAAATTCGTTTTATTAGTTAGATATTGATTAAAGTGCAACAGAAGTGATCAATAATTATTTCATCTTTTACTTTCCTCTCATTTAGGTTTTGTTTATTTCTCCTTTCAAAAATGAAATCTGGACTGTAAAGCATTTTTTGAGTAACTATATACTGAATTGGTGATGCAGCTGGAATTGTCCTTTTTCTTCTAGTGGAGAAGGTAGTAAGGTATGTGGAAGATAATTCTGCAGGAGGAAATGAATGGAGCCATGGTCATCACCACCACCATAACAATAAAAAATGGAAGGATGATAGCGATTATCATGACACCACTGATAAAAAAAGCAAGGACAAACTGGAATTGGATGCAGTGCCAAATAACTCGAAAGAAGATAAGGTTAATCCACAGAGATCCATCCCTCAGAAGGTAAGCTGTTGAGTTGGCATAACCTTTTATATAGCAATATAGAACTTGTTTGATCTTTTTAAGAAACAGATTGGCCTCATATAAATTTAATATTATATTTGTAATGAATATAATGGATATATTTATCTGCCTAGGAGGATTAGAAGAAGCTCCTTCAATATAAATTAATAAAAATGCTGCTGTAATTAGAAGTCACTATGATTGGCATTGGTAACTGCTGTGCATTTTCCAGAAGTCATTGAAAAACTCAAGTCAGTTTAAAGATTCTATTAATTCTTTCTAACCACAAGGACCAAATCAAGTCCTCAGAGCAGTATTCGACAAAATTCTAGCTTTCTGCTTCAAGCACTTCCAAAAGTCGTAGGTGACATTGTTTCTAGAGACAGAATGAAGATGCTCCTTTTACTATCAATATTATAACCATTTGTGGCAATTGGGTTTCCTCTTGTTGTATTTCAATGAAAACCATTCTCAGGTTTATATGGTTCAGCCGTGGCACCCCTCAAGACTTCTATATCAAATTTATTGTCGTCTTGAACAGACTTCTGATGTCAACACCACTAATAGTCAATAACTACGAAGATTTACATGTTCATATAATCGTGAAATGTTACTATTCTTATTATAAAATTGTCAAGTGTCACTATTGGTGTATTTGGTTGAACTACTAATTACAGGACAACTTCATTAAATGAATGTACCTAAGTTTTTGATATATCTTCTCTGACTTACTAGACTTATGCAGAGAATTGGAAAATCTGCTTCCAGAGATGTTAAGCAAGATCTAGATGCTGCTAATGGCACCACTGCTGACGTCAAAACATCACAAGAATTCCCAGCTAAGACACCGTCAAATTTAGTGTTTGGTTATCTCAATCTCTTCTCAGATGGCGTTGTATGTTTATCTCGATGCTTAACTTCTTCCATATTGGCGTTCAAACTTCCTGTTTAATTTTTATTATTTTCCTGTAAAAATGATTGAACTTCAATATAATCCAGTTGTAGGAGACTATTGATATATACTTGAGGGTTAATATTTGTTGGCGTTGCAGCACAATTTCACTGATGGGATGGCCTTAGGAAGTGCTTTCTTACTATATGGATCAGTTGGTGGGTGGTCCAGAACTGTGTTTCTGCTTGCACACGAGCTCCCGCAAGAGGTTCATCTTCTTTCTTGATTATCATTATTGGAATATCAGGCACTTCATTCGATCATCTTGGTAACTGAGAAAGATAACATCCTCTGGTCAAGTCAAGCCATTCTCCCTGATACTTTTTCACGTTAAAATTACATTTCATCTTTGATTAAATTGTCTTCTTTATTTCCCCAATTTTTTCGTAAAAGGCGTGCCTGTCTGTCTTTAACCCTGGGATTTGTGCCCGTTTTCATCTTTTCTTATCTCAGTTTTGACCAAGCTTCTAAGTTCTAGCTTTAAACAATGGGTTTTGGATTCAATATTTCTGTTCCCTTACTTTCCTGTCACTTGGCATGCGCATGATTATTTGTCACATAATCCCGAGGATAAAATTAGCAAATGTGGTTCATCCTGTACAATAGCTCCATGTACTTCATAAATCATGCTATTGAGTGATGTCGTTAAGCTCAGCTAGAGAAATTTGTAAAATTGGAAGGTATGTTTGTTTATGAATCTGATTCTTGCGGTTTGGTTAAATCATCTACATGTGTACTTCAGTTTTTTTTTTCTTCTTAATGGAGGTACAAATAAAAACTAAAAATCAGCTATACTTTGCCAATTGAACCATTGTTGATTGAACCATCTGTCTCTACCTTGTGAGCTTATTAGGAATTTATGTAACTCTGCAATATCCCACTAGTCACCAGTCATGATTGCTGTCTAGCACGGGACATTGTAGCGTTACAAACCGGACAGCACCCATGATTTATGAACTTCAGTTTTTTTTTTGTCAGTATGTTCTTATGATGCAACACGTATCTCCTTTTCATTGTTTCATTTATCGTTTTATGTGTTTGGTTAGTTTTTGAGTGTCTGCTTTTGGTACAGATTGGCGATTTTGGTATTTTGGTCAGATCCGGTTTCAGTGTTGTCAAAGCCCTTTTCTTCAACTTCCTCTCAGCACTCGTGGCTCTTGCAGGAACTGCATTAGTAAGTACTTTTTCTGTAAGCGCTGTATAATATCATTCCATGAAGGTGAATAGACCATGTAATTATCGATCTACTATGACATCCGTAGGCACTGCTAATGGGGAAGGATCCAGGACACTCATCTTTGATCGAGGTGAGAAATAGCTGCTGAAACTCTGTATTGTGTTCGCTTAGGACTAATTCTTATTGAGACGATTTAAACATCCTCAGGGCTTCACCGCTGGTGGCTTCATATACATTGCGGTTGCTGGAGTGCTAGCCGAAATGAATAGTAACAGTAAACCAACAGTAAGAACAACCGCGCTTCAATTAACTTCACTTGTACTGGGAATGGCTGTCGCGCTTGGTATTTCACTTGTTGAATAAATCAGAGTACATTTAGGTGGGCTCTATGTGTTCATAGCTGTACTTGGCTCCCCGCATATACACACTGATTAAACTAAATATGTTCATATTTGATCCATTTTTGTATCTGTTTAGTAACCATCAATTAGTGTAGTTCGAAGGGATGGCAATTGAAAGATACAGCCGTTGATCTTATAATGGGAGACTCGCAGATCTGTGTTCTTTTGCAAGATTTATATGCCTTCTCTCTTAGACTTTATTTCTCTTTCGAATTTAACAATCTTTCTCAAACATATCCATCCCTCGAATTCATCTAATTAAAAATGCAATGGAGTTTACCTTCTAAATTTATGCTCATGCCATACTTTTAGTTTTTTAGTTTTGTATTTAATTGGAAATTGAATTTTAGAAGGGCTTAATGTATTTGAGCTTTCAATTTTTTTTTTTTAATAAATTCTTGTCTTCTAGATATTAAAAAAAAAACGTTCACTTATTAGATTAAAAGAAAGTTATTAGAGTCCTAGCGGACATGAAATCTAGTTATTATTATTATGTATATTGATTTCTTTCTAATAGTAAAAGGGTCTATTTCGATATAGAATTAAAATTATTTTTGACAATTGGGGAGGAGAGGAAAATGCATGTTAGTTTAGAAAAGGTAATGTGTGTGGGTTTGCATTATATAATTGAGTCCATGTCTCCCATTTCCTTCTCAGTAAATTTACTTTTTCCTTTATACCAAACCCCTCCATACTTCACTTTAACAATTGGAGTCCACAACGGCACAGTTTCAACTTTACCAAATACACAAAATCCAAACACAAAATATGTCTTCTAATTCACACCCATATCATATCTCTCAACACAAAATATCCATATCCATATCCATATCTATATATATAAAATAATAATCACTAAACATATCAAAATATATTTGCATTATCTGTCACTTTGGTAATTTGACCTTATAGCTGCCGTGCCCTTTTGTTTCATTGTCAAGACTCAAATTTGTCCAACTGCTGAAGCATTTGGAAGATGGTGAAGTTCTGGGTGGTCGGCAGCAGAGGAACCGGCGACATTCCTCCCATCAGGTGGTCGGGTCGGCTGAGCGTATGGTGGTGCCGCTTCCGCACCACCCTCACCGCCGTCTCGGCTGATGCTTTAACTTCTCTAGACACTTCTGTTCTTTTCCTCCAGCTTTCTGGTGCCCTCTTGCCGTTATGCATGGTTCCTTCCTGTTTTCCATTTCAAACATCAGTTTAACAAACAGTTATAGTTGTTGTGAGATGAAGGTATGAGGTAGGTGTGATGATAACACATGGCGTGGTGGAAGTAAATGAAAAAGAAGTGTTACGTCAAGAATGGAAGAAGAGTTGGGCATTGGGCAAACGACAGGGCGGTCTTCATCATCAGGTTCCGTGGGATGCTGCAATGGCCAAAACTCCATGTCCACTTCAACCACCTGAGCTTCCATTCCTGATCTTCTTTCAGCCTTAATGCTTCCCTCTTCTGTTTCTGAAACGCTGCTGCTTTGCATTTCTCTCAACTGAACAACAAGTTCAGAAAAAGGGAGCCTCAAACACAGTGTTCTCAAAGAGATGGAAGATGAATGAATGGTATGGAAGGGGTAAAGAAATGAAATGACAGGAAAACACAGAAAATCTTTTGGGTTAGGAGAGGGGAAAAACAAGAAAGTGCATTAAAAGGAGCAGTCCCAAAGAGAGATGGCGTTTGTGGGGTTCACTTGTGGCACTTAAGAGGAAGAAAGATTCCCCCACCCTCTTCTTCTTTTTGGGATTTTCTTTAACTTCTTCATTTTCTTTGGTTTCTTTAACTTTGTTGCTTTAAGGAACAGCAGGCTGTTTCTTTGAAAATCTTGCCATTTATGCTTCCTCTTTGCTGTCTTTATCCTCCTTGGTTTTGGTGAAGATTTTGGATTTCAACTTACCTAGTTTTTGTATAGGATTAGCAAACATTTGAATTTAGTTTTTGTTTTGTTGAAGTCTGTGTTAACAATCACATCATCCTTCTATTAGGTATCTATTGTTAACATTTGAAAACCTACCTCTACAGTTCTTTCTTGAATACAACTTAACAAAATTTATACACAATCATATGTTGAATAGTATAAAACTATCATATAAAATAAGAGAGAGAAAAAAGACAGATCCAACCGTTATTGATTGATCGAGAGCGAGAGAGAGAGAGAGAGAGAGGTTGAAATGCACATGCAATTCCCTTTTACCTGTATGTGTATTTTGTAAAAGACAAGGATGTTGTGCTGTTGCAGCTTTTTGTCTGCCTAAGCTTACCCTCATTGGTTCATTTGTTCCCTCCCCCTATTCTTCACATCATACTTTTTTTCTTTTTCTTTTTTTTTTTTTTTACCAAAAGTACATAAATATTGCAAGCGATAGATAACAATTCAATAAAGTTTTCTTTGTTTGCCTTTATATTTGTTTTCTGTAGTAAACGTCTTTTACCCATTTGAAGTGGAATATCAATATTTGTCTGCCTTTTTATAAGAATTACACACAACATCTCTCTAACCTTATTATGTATATGGTGAAATTTAGTTTCGATTGAGCTCAGTAATCCTTAACAAAAAGCAAAGAAATGATTGAGAAGGAATTTTAATGTCTTGAAATGGTGCTTTCTCAAAGTGATTGCAATCGTTAAGTTAGGCTTTAGAGAAAGAAAGGGATGGATCTACAAAGAATTTAAACCATTTTCCAAGTCACCTTGATAGGAGTGATTGCAATGGTTAAATTAGGCTTTAGTCATCTTTGATGATCATGCGACACTTCCAAGATGACTACTTTTGCTCAACTCGATATTAAACATATCAGGAGAGAAACTCTCGCACAGCCACACAAACATCAAATCCAGCTATGTGCGCTACCAATGCCACCGATCTGTGCATGTGCATGTTCGCTATTCAGCCCTTGCCATATTGCGAAATCTGCCATGCCATCCACGCCAACTACCTATTCTGGGAGCACATCTCCTCTGCTCACGAACACTTTCTAGCATGCTTAAAACAGATAGTTGAGGCCTCCTTGTTTTCCTTCACTTCTTTATAATGTAAACAGTGTTGTTCCTATAGTCAATTTAGGGTATCTTAGTTTTTTTTTTTTTTTTTTTTTTTTTTTTTTTTTTTTTTTTTTTTTTTTTTTTTTTTTTTTTT